GCCTCTGAGCTCGCGTCTTCGACTGCCTGACCTGTTTTGCGGCAGATCCCTCCCTCCCCGTGTGTACTGTGTGTGCCTTATCTCGCCTCGGCCGCGGCCCGGTCCCCTCCCCGTCCCTGGACCCGGGCCGTCAAACCGCGCGCCACGACTCGGGTCTCCTCCCACCCCTCTGCCCCTCCCTCCCTCCTCGTGCTGGCCATCCTCCGCTCACTCTATTCGAGCCCCAAATCAAGCTAGTAAGTGGGCGGCACCTGCCCGGCTCGGCCGCAGCCCGTTATCTGCTCAGACAGTGAACTGGGTGCGGCGGGCACGCCGGACAGGTCGGCCCCCGACGACTGAATGGCGTTAGCACGGCAGACGGTGGACGGCCGTCTGCCGCCGCGGGGCTACTACGTCATACCGCCGGCTGGAGCCGGCAGGTAGTGAGGAATATCGGTGGAGAGTTGAGCCGGCCTACACCCACGAGGGATTGACGTAATGCAGCCTGTGGCGCAGTTGTCGCCTATGCTCTTCTCCTCAACGTTTGGAGAGGAAAGAGCAGGGAGGGGAGCGGAGAGGGGGTAGACTGACAGCACTGACTGCAAGACTAGCCTTGCCACCGAATTCCGAATGCAGAAGGTCGATCACCGGTCACCGTTACCGTCGATGACAGCCGAGTTCAACGGCCCCGGTCTATCGCTCCTGTCATCCCCTCCCCTCCCTCCGGTCCTTGCACTGTGCACCGCGCGCTTTGCACACGCTGCATAAAACCGCGCCAACCTGTCACATGGCGCGCCGAGGTCACTGACCCGAGCGAGCCGCCGCTGCTCCCGACTGACCGGTTCGCCGCGAACCAGCCGGTACTGCACGCATGGAGAGCGGCCCTCTGCAGAGCGGAACACGGGAGCGGGCGGCCTGACCGCCTGACTACCCATCTGTCTATCCGTGTGTCTGTGTGTGTGTCTGTACGAATGTGGTTTTGGCTGTCCAGTTGGCTGCCTGCGGTGCGGTGAACAGAGGAATGCAGAAAGAGTAATGGCCCCTTACAAAGCCAGTTTGTGTTCATCTTGACTGGAGTGACCAGACTAGATTAGCGAGGCTCGTCATCCCTTTTTCAGTGTACCATTGCATATATCTGCCAGTCATTCCGCGTGGCATGTATCCAGACCGGGACATACTGCGGGATATGCACCTCGGGTGGTGACTTCACGAGCTGTCACGGTGGCAGTCCTGTCACCGGACCTTTCACCATTGCACGGACCCAGTCACCTGCAGTCATGTGCCGCGCGGGACAGACGAGCTGTCCTGTCACGCCTCTGTCCGGCAGACAGCGGGCAAGCGGGTAATCAGTCACCTCTGCAGCCACGCAGCAGCTGACACACAGACTGTGAATCTGGGGCAGGTCGGCGACCGGACGACGGAACAGTCTCACTGAGAAAGACAGCCTCCCGGCAGCGGCGAGCTAGGTCGATCGAGAGACGCCAGCGGCGAGACAGGCCCGGCTCCAGTCTCCACCTCCCTCCTCCCGGCGGGAGAGAGAGAGAGAGAGAGAGAGAGAGAGAGAGAGAGAGAGAGAGAGAGAGAGAGAGAGAGAGAGAGAGAGAGGGAGAGGGAGAGGGAGAGGGAGAGGGAGAGGGAGAGGGAGAGGGAGAGGGGAGAGGGAGAGAGAGGAGAGGGAGAGAGAGAGAGAGAGAGAGAGAGAGAGAGAGAGAGAGAGAGAGAGAGAGAGAGAGAGAGAGAGAGAGAGAGAGAGAGAGAGAGAGAGAGAGAGAGAGAGAGAGAGAGAGAGAGAGAGAGAGAGAGAGAGAGAGAGAGAGAGAGAGAGAGAGAGAACGGCAGCGCCACTGCACGACTCTCAAACGATCGATACAGATAGCTCCGACTCGGGCGCCGGTTCCGAGCGGTCGGTCCAGCCCGGCCCGCCGCCGACAGCGCCCATGGCCCCGGCCGACCGGCGCGGCACGCAGCGCCCTCCGAGCGACAGCCAACAAAGCGGACCGACGGACGGCCCGACCAGCTTCGATCCACTAATGGGTGAAGCACGTTCTCAGCTAATTAGAGTGCTATTCTGGGTGAGCCGGTTGCAGCGTCGTTCGGGGAGTCGGCTTCATTTCAGCGAGCTGTCGACAGCGGGGCATCCTCAGTTGAGCCGAACAATCGCTCCCGTGTCAAAGAAACTGAGTGGCACGACGATTCCGTGCTCCCTTATTCTGATTCACCAGCCTCTTACACCTCGTCGCGCACACAGCCACAATCGGGGCGCCGTGTAACAGGTTGGCTACAATCACCGCGTCCGGTAGCACCCTCCCGACGCCGCCGCCGTCGCCGTCGTTTCGGTATTGATCTGCAGGCGAAAGTCGACGAGCCATGCGTCGCTCCACCGCTGCAGTAGCTCCTGTTGCTGAGCAGTGGAGGCGGAGAAGGGGAGATTTCCGCACTCGGCACCGATGATAGGAATGGCTGCTGGTGAATGGCCTTAGACGCGGTGAACCGAGCCGAGCTGGTCGATATTGGGAGACGCACGTGGGTAGGAGAGAGGAGAGGAGACGCGGACTGAATGAGCGGGGACGAGAGAGAGACGGAGGAGAGATCCGGTAACGAGCCGCTCCCACGTGCCACGGATGGATACCGGGGGGGACAAACATTAGAGCAGATACATTCCCGGCACACACCTCCATATATACAGATTACAGAGACTATACACAATAACACCCAGATCGGACAGACACTATTAACAAGAAACAATGCGTAAGTATCACACATGCTCAATGGTAGAAAAGCCAAACGCAAATCACACAATCAGAAAAAGACAGACCGTACATAATGCATCAACACACACAGAGACAGAAGGGCCGACAGATAACACACCGAGACACACAGAAACTCCTGTGCATGGCGACATGCTAACAAAGCCGCCTGTTGATGGATTTGAGGCGACTCAAAACTGAAGGAGACATGTCAGATAGCATATCAGCAAGCGTTCGTTCGTGGAAGCATAAGCCGGCAGAATAAACTCCAAGAAGTGGGACCACAGTGCGCAAGTCCGATAGGGCTTATGGCTATCGAAAACAGTAGCGTCGTTCAATGTCCATACGAGTTCAACGTTCGAAGCTCAATAATGCAGCTCATATGAACAGTGGAACGGGTTGCGCCTACCTCATGGCACATTCAATCACCCAAATGGTATTGCTTTGCACCTACGGCACGAATACCGTCTGGATTATATCGGAATCATATTCACTGAATGCATTCATAAATATTAATGCCGGCGAGAATAAATATTGAGCCAGTTCTCGGGGCTGTGGAACATGTCAGAAGAAGGTTCGAACGAATTAAACATACACTCGACAGGCAGAACACAGAAATGTGTTCACTATTCTGTCACAGTGTTCAGTGTGTTCTGTCTAGCCCTGTGCTACGGAGCTATTACGTTTTATTTCGACTTTAGTCGCCAACCGGACTGGCGTGCTGCTTTATCCTCCGTCTTGTAACAAGACGCCTACGTCGGCCGCAAAAATAGAACAAACCGGGCAAATGGCATCCCCAACATTCAGCGAGTCACGGCATTTTTGCACGGTGCAGCCAACACAGACTCTGGCGTAATACGCCACACGAGACGTTCTAAGACGGCAAAAATAAATAGCCGGTGTATTAGTGTTGTTTGCTGGCCATTCAACCTTCCCAGCAGAGTGGACTAGGCCCGACTGTACCGTGCTCCAGAAGAAGCGAAACACAGGTAAAATGAGAGCAAATGGACGGACAGTGGCTAGCACTGAGCCCAGTCGGAGCAAAAGTTTCCGGTCTGTGTCAGCATTGCTCCAAGGGAGCCAATGCAGTCGAGTGAGACGAACCGTGGCCAGCAATCACCACAAACTTCTATCACTCCTACCACTACCATTGCTTTCGACAGTCAGACGGAGCGGAGTCAGACGTGGTGACTGCTGCTCAGACGGAGCAGCAGTCACCACGGCCAGGGAGCTGTCGCAGCTCAGTTCGCAGCCAGCAAGCCGCGTCACCAACCGCAACGGACAGACCGGATAAGAGCGAAAGACGTGGCCTAGTCCCACTAAGTCCGGTCAGCAACTAACCACAAAAACAACAAACACAAATCTCCAGGAAACCGAGATCCCTTTACACACCTCTCATCCGCCCGTTCGCCAGCACACGATCTTGCCCAAGGGCGTCGCACGAGTCATGGCATGTCTGACCTTTCTCTGCCCAGTGCTCCGTGTCTTGAGTAAGCGATATGGTGTGCCCGTGTGTCTCATTCTTCCGAAGCTCGCTGATCCGTGGCGCTTCTGAGTCACGTCGTGACCTTTATGGGACGTTGAGCCACACCGTGAGGCATGGGGCGAAGGTCGCGGATCACGGAATCGGACGGATGTTCTACAAACACGGTACATCTCTCGGAATCCGCCGGCGAGAGGATTTACCAAGAGAGTGGTCACGAGTCTGCTAACACGAGACCACACAGCATGCTGCAGGTACGTCACGGAAATAGGCAGAAATGGGATCACGTCTTCTGGAATCAAGGATGAGTAGAAGGAATGGCTAAGGAAGTTGTTAATTCAAGTAATGGATAACATCACCCTGGCCAAGCGAAGTAGAGAATAAAGAATTGGGATCCACAAGGAGACCGAAGAATAAGAGCAACGACGTAAAATTCGCCTACAACACTGGGTAGGCTTTCGTGGTCCATCTAATTCTCAGCTCTTCTGAATCTTCTGTTGATGGAAGACTATGCAAACTCTCTCCTGAACTGAGTATGGAATGTCTGTTTCATAAATGAACAATGAACGCGTCTTTCTGATCACGATCCACCCCGCCCCTCACCTAGACTGTGCGTGGTGTGCTGGAGGAACATCGACCAGCTCTGATGTACACCTGTCCCCATCCTTCCCCGTTACCTGGGCTGTCTGTGTGTGGTGTGTATAGTGATGTGTTGTCCGACGTCCGTACAACTCTCACCCACCTGGACTGTGTGTGGTGTGTATAGTGGTGTGTTTATGGTGTGAACTAACCTGGACTGTGCGTGGTGTGCTGCTGGAACATGGACAGATGTGGAGGTGGCCGCCGCCACGGCCGCCGCCAGGGCCAACCTCGTAAGCGGCCTGCGGCGGCGCCGGCAGGCTGGCCAGCGCCATACTGTGGTGGAACTGTTCCAGCTCGGCGCTGACACTGAGCGCTGCCGCAGCAGCCACCTTGGACGGGTCGCCGCCCAGACGGGCCTCCTCCCGACCGGCGGACACGGAGAGGGAGGGCTCGCAGAGCAGGGGAGCCGAGCTGGCCAGGCCAGAGGAGCGTCTGTGGAAAGAGAGGGTCAGGTCAGAGCCGAGCTGCTGGCCAGGTCCAGAGGAGCGTCCTGTGAGAGAGAGAGAGAGAGAGAGAGGAGAGAGAGAGAGGAGAGAGAGAGAGAGAGAGGGTCAGGTCAGGTCAGGTCAGTCAGGTCAGGTCAGAGCAGGGGAGCAGAGCTGGCCAGGTCCAGAGGAGCGCCTGTGGACAGAGATGGTCAGGTCAGTCAGGTCAGGTCAGAGCAGGGGAGCAGAGCTGGCCAGGTCCAGAGGAGCGTCTGTGGACAGAGAGGGTCAGGTCACAGGTCAGTCAGGTCAGGTCACAGACAGGTCAGAGCAGCGGCACAGAGCTCGTCAAGTTCCTGTGCCGACGGGTAGGGGTAAGGTCAAATCAGCACAGGAAAGGGAAGTCCAAGGGGCTATTATAAGTCCAGACAGGCTCTGTAAGGGTGGACCGGGGGTCAGGTCATGTCTACAGTAATACGGGTATGCCATGACCCCGCTGACACACTTCCCAGTTACCGAGGCGCAATACATGAACAAAGGCTGCAGAACATTCCTATTTCTTCACATAATGGAGCTACATGTACATGTACACTCGGGGGCAGATTGATGTTCCACCACTCCCCACCCATCGGCTCCCATGGCTCAGCACTGGCTGCTGCCAGTGTTGCCTGCCCTCAGCACTGATCAGCACTGCCTGCCAGTGCCAGTGCTGCCAGTGCTGCCACTGGCACCACTGGCGGTCGCAGGGGGGGGGCACGGGGGCCATGGCCCCCCCTTTGGTGCTGAAAGGTGGGGCCATACTATCTTTTGGCCCCACCTTTCAGATCGAACAAAAGTCCTAGAAAAGCTTTTCGTATGTTTCATTTTCTTTCTTGCGCCATCAAAGGACGTAATTTCACTCATGAGTGGGCTCAGTTCATCGCATTCTGTCAATTTGGCGTCAGCGTCGCTGGCACCGGTTCACGAGTATGGCCGGATCTTATATGGAATATCAGCGTGGGTTTACTTAAGGCTCTCGTAGGCCCAGCATTCAGCAATGGCTGGCATGAGACCCTCTTCGGCAGTGGCAGTGGCCCTGCTAAAGGAGATTGGCTCCAAGACACTAAAGTAAGACCTCATGGGTTGGTGCTGTGCACCTCAGAAGCCCGGTGGTGATGCCGTATGCCGGGTTGGTTTCTTAAGGATTAGCGTGGGACCTTCGGGGCCTGCATAGAGTTTGCCTGCGCTAGTATGTAATCTCAGAGGCATGTGTGTAATGTGTACACAGTGGCGGTCGCGACTCGCGGGGGCCGGGGGGGGGCATCAGGGCCATGCCCCCAAAGGTCAATAAAGGGGGCCATCATATCATTTGACCCCCCCCCCCCTCAAACAACCAATTGGCTCCCATATAGGTGTATGGGGGCCCTGGCAATTATTCGATCGTCACGAGGCTAAAAAAAAACACGCCAAGCTATTAATATAGCTCCCACACCGGTCTTTGAGCGTCCTACACTGACCTCTGAGGGAACTTCAGTGGCGGTCAAGCGCCCACGTTGACCGCTAAGAGCCTACATCAACCTCTGAGGCCACATCTGGCCTATGAGGGCCCCTAACCGGCCTCAGGGGTCCCAACCGGCGTCTGAGGGTCTCACACCGGTCTCTGGTGGCCTTATTTCTGTCTCTGGTGTCCCAAGACGAACCTTTAGGTGCCAATAAGGGCCCCGCACTGGCTGCTGAAGACCCGATGCGGGCCTCTAAGGGTCTGCATTGGCCTCTGAGGAGGGCCCATCTTGGCCTTTGAGGGCCCTCTGCTGGCCTCTGGGGTCCAACGACGGCTCATGGCGGTCTTTTAGGGCCCCACGCTGACCTCTGAGGGCCCATGTTGGCCTGTAATGAGTAAGGACCCACATTAGCCTCTGAGAGCCCAACTCGGTCTCTGATGGTCTCAAACTACTGGCCTTTGTAGTTTGCAGGCCCTGTACTGGTCTCTGAGGGCCCTAAACTGGCCTCTACATGAAAACATACATGGTGGGTTTCTGAAGATCAGAGGGTCTCACGCAGTCTCCGGCACAGCCTACGTTGGTCCTGATCGAGATTGCTTTACGTCCCTGATGG